ATATATATATATATATATATATATATATATATATATATATATATATTGCGGCTACTGTGCTAGTAGAAGCAGGATAACCTTTAAGTTTATCATTATGGATACTTCTTTTGAAGAACATTTTTGCAAGATTATGCATTCAGAAGTTAGCGGTAGGTACATCTTAAATGGAGCAACCTTTTGAGTTTTGCTCGACCCCGTAGCTTTCTGTGTCATGTTATGAGGTATATTAATAAGAGTAACCTATTTCCAGAGGCTTACTAATTTTTGGCATTTGCACACACTACACCACTACTCAAGTACGAATGCCACGGTTTATAGATAGTTAGATGGCTTGAATCGTCTGACAGTAAAAGGAGATTTTGTACTCCCACGCATTAACTTCGTTTGTACCTTATTGGTGCCTAAACACTATGACTTATCAAATCTTGATCTAAAATTGGTTTTACGACCAATCATTAGTTTAGTTTAACTAGTTCCAAGTCGTATCTTGTATGTCTTGTTGCAATTTCGGGCCAAAGGGTAAAGTGTGCTTATTGTGAACCTTCCTGTTCATGGGCCTTTTTTAATAGGTATGACAAAGGTGCATATTTATATTTGCCATCGTATGTAATGCGCACACGTGGATCACGACAACAACGTGAATCAGTTAAGAGGGCCCCTACGGAGCAATTGAAGCCAGTATTTGAGGTTTGGAATTTGTCGGCTCTTGTTTCTGCTAACAAGGAGTAAAGGTTGAGTAAATGACTGAGGTTAGAAATTAAATTTGGACCTGTTCATGTCAGGCATTGGACATTCTAGGAAGCACCAGATGGAGAGTGAATAAAAGGGTACTTAGCGTGATTGACAGAATGTGGACTAGTGGAGGTCGTCTTGCAAACTTAGTTGACCGCAATGACGTATGTGAATTTAAATATTTATATTTTCTCATTTAAATATTGACGTAAATTTTTTGGCAAGTTGAGTTTTTCTTTTTGTTGTTTATAGTATGACAAATGTTTTTGATTGTCCCTTTCCCCAATAGATACCGTTGCCAGAGGAGCCAGATACAGAAGATGAAGCATTACGTAAGAAGTGGAAATGGAAAGTTAGATCTGTCAAGAAAGAAAACAGCGAGAGGCATTCACAACGTTGTGATACTGAGCTTAAACTAGCTGTGAGATCTGTTTCTGTCAATTCATATTTTCTCTGTTTGATGTTTGACAAAAAAGTTTTTAACGGTGTCTTTGTGATGTTGATTAGATTGCATGGAAGATGAAAAACGAGGAAGGCTTTTTTTACCCGCACAACCTTGATTTCCGTGGCCGTGCATACCCAATGCATCCGCACTTGAACCATTTGGGCTCTGATATTTGCAGGGGAATACTAGAATTTTCAGAGGGTCGGCCTCTTGGAAGTTCAGGCCTCCGCTGGCTAAAGATACATGTGGCAAATTTATTTGCCAATGGCGTGGACAAATTATCCCATGAAGGTCGCATTGGTTTTACTGAGAATCATTTGGATGATGTATTTGATTCTGCAGATAGACCACTTGAAGGAAATAGATGGTGGTTGAATGCAGAAGACCCCTTTCAGTGTTTGGCAGCATGCATCAGTCTTGCTGAAGCTATGAGATCTCCTTCACCGGAGACAACAATTTCACATATTCCTGTACACCAGGTATAATCATGATAACACATCTTTTACAATTTTTAACCTTAACCAGATGATAATTTACATTGGAATTGACAAGTGGTTGCTATGGTGAAAGACTTGTACATATATACTTATTCGTATATATCTGTTCTCTATATTTGTTTCTTAGTGTTTCTTGTACATCTGTTCTTATGAAATAAATGCATAGTTGCATGTGTTCCGTTTCTTGTCAACTTTTTCAAGTGAAAAATATATATTTAGTTACAAGATTTCCGTGAGTTTCCTTTACATATTACTTTAGGACTGAAGGACTGGAAGGATAAAGAAACCGACTCCCTATAAATTTCTCATGACTTCTCTTTCTGAACTTTTCAATAGTAAATTCATTCTGAGGTCTGGTGAATTCAACTACTTTTGCCAAATATTGTCAAAATAATGGAAGTGATGCTCGTGTACTGTTTAGGTCAAGTCAACTGTGATGCTACCAGGGAAATTTGGTATTTCAGTTACATTAGTATCTACATTAGTATCAGAGCTACTAAATATATCGATTGCTTCACAACATAATCATTCTTCTTTCTCATATCTTTCTTTCCTTTCTTTCTTCTTTTTTTCTAGGATGGTTCCTGCAATGGTTTACAACATTATGCTGCCCTTGGTAGAGATAAGGTGATGTATTATTTTTATTTTATCTATGATGATGTTATTAGGTCCTTCTAGTCCAAATAATTAAACTATTAATACCTTGAGGTTTCAATTTGGTTTGTGGTTCAAATAGCAGTATGTTTTTGGCGAAACCACATTTAACAGGCAATGTGAATTTCTGTTGGAGGGGTGTGGTTTCCTATATTGGATGAATTCACATAATTGATATAGAACATAGAAATCCTTTATTCCTAATAAGGAGGGTGTATGCAATTGGAACTTTAAAGACTTTTTAGGGGGCGATTGACTACAGATTGTAATCGGGGTTTTGACTAACAAAATAATTTGTTTTACAACTTTTAACTCAATATCCAACTCAACTCTCAATATTATTAATATAATTAAGTAATATCAAGCAATCATTCTCACACATCAAATAAACTTTAATTCGCTTCCCATCCACTCACTCATTTTTAACTACTTATCATTTTCAATAACATCTCTCCCACTTTGACATCACATCAACTTGAATATTACATATTAAATATTATTTAACTTAAAACTCACGATCTTTTTTACCAGAAAATAAAAAAAATTAAAGTTTTGGACAAAAAAATACACAAACAAAGGGGAGTGGAACAAAATCAAAAGTACGTATTTAGTGAATACGTTTTTTATTGTAAAATGTATTTTCAAAATACGTTTTCCTTTGTAAAAAAATTTGTAAAACGTATTCACTAAATACGTTTTACAATTGAATTTGTACTAAAAACGTATTTAGTGAATTCGTGCTTTCTATTTTGTTCCACTCTTCCTTTTTTTTTTTTTTTTTTCCACTTGATTTTTTATTATTTTTTATATATAAATTACCCTAAAACTCACAATCCTACTCAACTCAATCAACTTTATCCCTTAACACTTTTAGTATTATGGTGTATTCAGTTGAAACTTTTTGAGGCGTTTAAAAAGTCTACCTGTTGTATACTAAAGATTTTTGTAAATCTTTAAAAATTTCAAGGTATTTCATTAAAATTATATGAGTCTCTATAAGTCACCCGGTATTCAAGGAATGGAAGACTTTAGGGGACTTTTTAATTTGAAAAACTTTTGGAGAGTTTATTAATCATATTACAATGACAAAGTCTTAGTAGAAATCTCATCAAATTGGTGAGATTTTTGCTGAACTATGATGTAGAAAAGCGTACGAGTGTGGGAAGATAAAAAAGATTTCAATCTCAAACGATGTGTTTTATTTCAGTAATCAACTGCCTAACATCCAAGATAAGGAACCCTTTAAAGGCTCCTACAACCCTAATAATAACTTGTGCCCTAAGCAAGCTAATAAATAATTATTCTCTTAACAATTAAATACTAAACATAAAAGAAATAACAATAAAGATAAATGTAAAATATATATCCTAAATCAATGATTCTAGACGATACCTCGACTCCATCAGGTAATCAAAATCTTACTGTGAACACGTAATAAACAAGTTGGACATTATTGATATCTATGCACCCACTTAAGGGAGAGTGTTAGAAAGTTTTAGATTTCATATCATGGTTGTACGAACCGGACCAGACCGGCCGGTCCGACCGGTTGAACCGGGAACCGCCTGCCCAACGGTCCGGTTTGCTGACAAAACCTAGTCATTGACCGGTTGAACCGGTTAAAACCGGAAAAAACTGCTCATAAACTGGTTGGTAAACCGGTCCCTTTTTTCTTTAAAAGGAATAATATTCTGTCCAAATTTATAAAGAACGAAGGAAATTTCCCTTTCTTCACCCCCCCCCCCCC